TAACAAACAATATGAGTAAATAAATATAAAATCAAAACAGGCCCAATAGAAGGCATCGCCTGTGCATGGACCAATAATTTAAGTTGAAACTGTAGAATGCAAATGACAAAAAAGGACAAAAATTAGCTACAGTAGATTATGTATTTAGTTGATGTTCGTATTTATGAGTTTATGAATTTCAGTCCTAGATATAGAATGTAGCCATTTTTTTAAATTTCTTTTGAAACAATTTCCGAAACGTAAATCTTTTAAGTCTTTAGGTATAATTTCATAAAATTTAGGCGCTAAATAGAGATATGATCGCTGCATTATAGATTTATGCGGTTGAGGAACTACTGTGCCACGAATTTTGTACCTTGTATAATGATTATGTTTAATTTGTTGGTCGGTGTTTACAAATTTATGGTAGTGAGTGATACTGTGTAAGAAATAAAGCTGTCTTATATCATACATTCGAACATCTGCTTATAATTTTTCAGTGGGATAAAGTTTCGGTTTTTTAAATATCATTTTTAGAATACTTTTTTGAAAAACATCTAAATTATAGATATGTGAGGAACATGCAGCTCCCCATGCTAATATACTATATGTGAGATGAGGCTTAATCAGTGCATGGTATAATGTTCGAAGATATTTTTCTGTCAATATATTCCCAAGGTACCTATTTAATTTTGTAGGATACAAATCTAACTTTCTTCAAAATATAATTAACATGGATCTCCCATCGTAAGTGAGGATCCAAGACCACTCCAAGGTATTTTATGTTGGGCACTCTATTAATTTGCATTTTTTGATCCTTAATGTTGAAGGAGAAATTTGTGTAATTTTGCAGATGTCTAGCATAAGATCCAAATGGTAAAAAATGTGTTTTAGAGTAGTTAATGCTTAATTTTATACTGTTAAACCACCAAATAATTTTGATAAAATCATTTTCAATTACATTTTTCAGATCAGACCAGTCAGTGCCTTCATATATACGTAATATTGCAGTATCATCTGCAAAACTACAGTATATTCAGATAAGAGATAGACCGGATGTAAACAAAAGGTTCGGGTGATTTTCACGCTAACGCCGCCGTCTCGACGTAAAACAGGAGCCCTCATTGGTCAATTCGCAATTAAATGCCTATGCCGAGCGGCAGAGCAGTCGTATTAAGGCAGAGTCACATTCAGGTTCAGACGTGTTACGTATGTCGTGTGCATCATTGCAATTTGATATTTCTTTGGACGTTTTCGTTTGTTATCTTATTAAGTTGTTGAGTTTGTCGTTGTTATTGTTATACCTTGTTATAATTATAGGCTGATTTAAACGCCATTTTGAGATTATATTCGACTGTATTTCACCAAACATCAGACGGCATCCGAAGCTGGAAATCGAAGCGAAAATTTTGAAACCCTTATGTATATTTACATCATTATATATTTCTTACCCCACCCCCACATGATCCTATATACATCGCCAATCGTATACACATCGAATTGTGCTAATTTACTACAAAGTTACGCAAAGCAGCATCTACTATCTAAAATATGTACTGCGTGACTCTTAATACGTCCCTGCCGAATGTTACAGTGGTCGATGATCACGTGGTCTTGTTTATGTCTGGTCTATCTCTTATCTGAATATACTGTAGTTATTTTGCCAACACAATTAATTTGGAAAATATCATTTAAATATATATTGAATAACAGCGGACCTAAGACTGTTCCTTGTGGGACCCCACACTTAATATACATTTCTTTACTAAATCATCCTGATATCTGCACAGATTGTGGGCGATTTGACAAATAATTTTCGATCAGTGGGTACGCGTTTCCTCTGAAACCAATTCTCTCCAATGCTTCTAATAATAATTTGTGATTAACTGTGTCGAAAGCTTCTTTAAATCAACAAAAATGCAGATTGAAGGGATTCTGTTATCAATATTTTGATGTATTTGATTTACAATTTTAGTTATTGCGTCCGATGTAGCGTTCCCTTCTGTAAATCCATATTGATTTTCACTTAAAATTTTGAATTTTGTGAGGTATCGAATCATTCTAGTAGATAAAACTTTTTCAAAAACCTTTGCTACACTGGATATTATTGATATTGGTCTATAGTTGTTAACATCTGTTTTTGTTCCTGATTTATGTATCGGTATTATATTACCTTTTTTTAAAATTGAGGGATATGTGCCAGATTCAAAGCATTTGTTGATTAGGTAAGTGAGTGGTTCTGTTATGTTCTCGGCTATAATTTTCAAATGCTCGCTTTTAATACCATCGAAGCCAGGACTTTTTCGATTTTTTAAGAACATAACAGTGGTGTATACTTCACATTGCTCGACTTTATCCAAAATAAATAAGTTCAAAGTTCTTTTTGGAGGCTGAGTATTTTGTACATTCGCTTGTATATTACTTGCTAAATTTTCGCCTATGTCAGTAAAGAATTGTACAAATTCATCGCATATCTGTTGAGTATTTTTTAATACTGTTCCCGATGTTGTATTTAACTCAGTGACACACTCTTTAAATTGACGAACAGAGAGTCGACGTATCGAAGTCAGAAGAACAAACATCTCTTTAAGAAGGGGTGTGGAGGAATTACCAGTTAGCATATCAGTTGTGCCAAATTTTGAGGCACGGACGAGTTTTTGTTGCCACAGCAGATTCTGACTGAAATCTGGCCTCTACAATACTGTGGTCTGAGTCATCTAGGAAAGACAGGACAGCAGCGTTGTAAGGGACATCCGTAGACAGAGACCCAGCAGACCACTGGTGTGTAACGAAATACGGGAGAAAAAGTAGACCTCCACACCAGCTGGGTCCTTAAGACATGGCGAACGCTGCAACGGCACGACCTGTTTAACCAGCCTGACAGCGAGCTATTAAAGCAGATCATCCCAATTATGGTTTGAGGCAGCAAGCAAATATGAGGCATGATTTGGAATTGAGCCGAAGTCACAAAATGTCTCTTGAGCAGGAAAGTCCGCTGCAGACAAGAGCCACTACTTCCCCGTTCTTCTCGAGGTTGGACTGCACCTCGTAATTAAAAAAAACTGATATTGTCAGTCAAGGAAGAATCGAAGATTTTGGCCTCCACCAAGAAAATCATGACGAGATAATTTGACTGCAGACAGTAACGAACAGCATCAATAGTTGCTGTTAATCAAGGAGACGGTCCTGAAGGAGTCCTTGGTCCTTGTCTACCTCCTTCTTTTTTTGATATTGTTAGATAGACCTTAAGTGACCTGCTGGCGAACTTGTACTGCCACCCGGCAACTGGTACTGAGTTATTCCTTAACGCGTGTGCAATGACTAGAACGGTAAGAAGTTGTATCCTGAGTGCAACAGGTTCCGAAACAAGCATTTTTCACAGCCTCGTTCAGTGGGAGGCCCTGAAGCATGGCTTTTGAAGCTTGGTTGATTGCGTAGCTGATTCTTTGATTTCGGAAACGCTGGCCAATAACTTGCCAGCCAAATCGCTCGATTAAGTCCTTCGTTTGTTGTGAGACATGAGGATGAGCATTGTTGTGGTAAAGTTTTATGCTTTGCGACGATTTTGGATTGCCCGTCTTAGCTTTTTCACAAGCCCCAGGAATTTCAACCGTCTGTTCCCGGATCGTGACTTTGCGATCTTCGAGCAAGATTTTCTCAATTTCCGCGGTGATCGACGGCCTCCTGCTTCGTCGTTCATCGTGGATATCCAAGCTGCTACCAGAGCACACCATTTGAGGAAATGGTCAAAGATTATACATGTTCCTCCATATACTCCACTCAAGTGGCTATTAATTTCTATGGATGGTAACGTTTTTGCGTTCAACAATCGAATGACTGCACTAATGCGCCCCTGGAGGTGACGGCGATGAAAGGCTGGAGCCGGTGTTGCGTATGGCAAATAGGCACTTCTTGTTGGGATCGGTGGTGGAGGAGCCGACTAACCCGACATTGTTGCAGGGATATAGCGTTCGGAACCCTATTTCAGAGAGAACCTTCGTAAAATGGAAGATCTGTATTGACACTTAATCAACTTTTTCTAATGATGACTTCTATAGATTTTGACAAGCCCTAGATGTTCCGTTATCATTACGTCAGTTGTTTTTGAAACAGACCTCATCGGAACGTTAAGCTGTTCAGTTGCTTGTAGTGTAATACAAGTTGAGGTGCAGTAGATATATAAAGTTTTTGCAGCAGTGTAACAATTTTAATGTACATTGAGTTCATGTGCCTCTCATTTTGAACTTATTCCACGTGAAGTAACGCCGCACCGCGTTACTGAACTGGAGACCCGGGAGCGAACAGCGAATTTGCAAACAATGGTACAGCCAGGCACGGTGGTCGAGGATAAATCTATCTTTTCCAAAGGGAAGTCAACGAGGCCGGTTGGTGCTGACCCACGAACCGAATTCCGTGCCATCGCCTATATAATTACCACGATCCAACCAGACTAGAAACGGTACCCACAGCACTACTAGTATACAGACATGTCAGTATCAGTGTGTTTGAAGATATTCGAACATTAGATCACGTAGCATTTGATTCAGCCACAAAACATAGCCAGAAAGAATACCTACTTAGAGCAATTTAACCAACAACATGATCGAATGACATTTGTCGCCGTTACCAATATGTCACTTCTCAGCTAAAAAAGCGAAGTAAGCGATGTATCAGGTAACCAAATAAGTTCGTGCGGTTGCTGTATATCGCACATTGCTATGGATGTTGTTGATCGATAGCGATTTTTTGTTACCCGTTGTCACTTTATTATGAATCGTTATTTTCTCACACACAAAAAAGTTTCTGAAAATTGTTATATGCCTAGTTTTAATAACTGAAACTGGCGACGAATAAAACAGTAATTCGAAGTTGTTTACTGTATGAGCACAAACTTGGTACAAAAGCTGCAGCGGTGGCGCGAAAAATATGTATCGCATTCGGAGATGATGCCATTAGCGATCGAACAGCACAGAAGTGGCTCAAAGAATTTTCTTCAGGAGATCTCAGTTTGAGCGATGAACCGCACTCAGGGAGACCAAAAATCATGAATAACGAGGATCTTCTACAGGTTGTGGACGCAAATTCCAGGATAACGTGCCAAGAGCTTGCAGAAATGTTCAGAGTGAATCCTGAAACTATTCGTTTGCATCTTCATCAGCTATAAAAGACGTGGAAGTTGAGCAAACGGGTCCCACATGAGCTGATAAATGATAACAAATTAAGTCGTCTTACCATTTGTTCAGCAACCATTTCACGCAACGCTAATGAACCATTCCTTGATCGGTTATTAACCTGTGACGAAAAATGAATCTTGTATGTGAATTCTAAGCGTTCGTATCATTGGTTGTCGCCTAGTGATTCGGTAGCAAACACGCCCAAGGCTTCCTTCCACCCAAACAAGGTATTGTTGTGTGTTTGGAAAGAGGTCAAACCAGCACTGCAAACTTGTCTTGTCTTCAACGAGTGCAAGCAGCACTCATCCAGAGACAGCTTTCTTTGATCAGCCGGAAGAAAGTGATATTCTTGAAGGATAACGTCAAGCCTCACATACCGCAAAAGTGACCCCAGAAAAAATTTCTGAACTCGGCTGGGAAACGTCACCGCCCCCGCCATATTCTCCCGACATTTCGTCCAGTGATTATCACCTTTTTTTGTCTCTTGACAACTGTATGAGGCACCGACAGTTCACAACTCGAGATGGTGTAATAAATACATTCCGCCATTTTTTTGACTCCAAATCCAGGGAGTTCTAAAATATCGGCATAAAAAAATTGGTTCCACGTTGGGAAAATGTTATTGAATGTGATGGTAATTACTTCGACGAATAAATAGGTGAATAATATTATGAGCCCCGAGTTGCTTTTTGTCGCACAATGTTAGAAAGACACGGTTCTTTGAAAAAAATGTATGGTCAGATGAGACCACATTTAAGAAAGATGGGTACATGAACCTGCATAACTTACACGAGTGGCACGTAGCAAACCCACATTTGATGAGAGAAGATAAATCTCAATATCGCTTCAAGATAAACCATTGGACAGGAATTTTAAATAGTAAAATAATCGGTCCGTTTGAGTTCCCAGAGACTTTGACTGATGAGGTTTATTTAGGTTTTTTGCAAAATCATGTAGAAAATTTATTGGAGGACGTGCCACTGAGTATTTATAGGGACATTTGGTTTCAGCATGATGGCTGCCCAGCGCTCTATGCACTCTCAGTGAGAGAGTATCTCGATCAAAACTTTCCAGGCAGATGGATAGGGCGGTCTGGTACAATACCGTGGACAGCCCGGTCACCAGATTTGAATCCGTTAGATTTTTTTACTGGGGAACTGTAAAAGAAAAAGTGTATTTCAAGCCGATTCAAAATGTAGCTGAGCTGCGGCAAAGACTATTGGGAGCAGCTGAGTTTGTTAATAACCGTGGATTCGCTCGTTTAATAACCCGATCTTTTTTAAGAAGATGTCGAGCGTGTATTGCGGCTGAAGGAAAACAGTTTGAGCATTTGCTGTAAAGGTAAATCATCATCAGCAGCATTTTGACGCCCACTGTTGTGCAAACAGTTATCCTTAAGGGTTCTTGTGCGTTTTCATAATCGCTGTTTAATTAGGAAATTTTGAAAAATGTCAGTTTTTCTTCAAATAAAAATTGTACATAAGTTAACGAGTAATCTTCTAAGTGTTATACCATTTTGGAATCCTTATTAAATGCGCCAACTTTTAAGGCTACTTGCCAAACTCTCGTAGTACATCTTCTTCCAGTACAGCCAGTTAAAGTTGAGCAAAGTTTTACTTTGGAATACTTGGTTGGGAAATAAGTGGCAATTTTTCCTGAACGAGAAAAGTTGGCAGTAAGGTTGAGACACCAGTTTGAAGATGCATTATTCATCATTACATTGTAAAAATAAAATCCAAAAAAAGTTAATATTTGTAGTGAAAGGAGTTGACAGACTGCCGTAGGGTGTGAAATTTCTATATCTTCTTCAAAGACCTATAATTTTCAAAACACATACATCAAATTTTTTTAAATATTTTTCTGATAGCTGTTATGACTTTGACTATCACCCGGTTTCGGCTTGACGTCGACTTCTGGGACACCCTATATGTTGATCCCAGGCTCTAACGATGTTATCTATTAAGTCCAAAAATGTTCAAATGTTCAATAAAACATTGTTTATAAACAACAGCTATCTCTAAATTTCTGTAAAAATTGAGGCATATATTCTGTCCCACCACTTGCAACCCCTAACCCCCTATTTGTTTTATCCACTAGGAAAATTTTTCAAAAACTAAAAATCATTTTTTTCTTGGCATACCTAGTAGTAAAATTGGGTTCAATATGTAATCAAAATCCGAATGCTTCACCAGTTATAGGCGGTTATAGGAGTAGCGACTGACAGACCGACTGACAGGCACACCGACGGAAATTTTTCTCAATTAGAACACGAAGCAATACCTATACTGAAAATTCTTCATCCTGTATAAGAAAAGGGGTGGACGTGCGAAAAACGCAGCATCATCCTGCTTAAACGAAGAAAATAAGGAGAGTGACAGCCGGTACGTTTTGCAAAGTGTAAGAAGATGACACCGGAATGATAAATTCGTGATGTGGGCGTTAACGAAATGTGTGTGCGGCATCGTGATCGAGTGATTGCCGCGCCATGCTTTATCCGCGTTTATATCGGAATGCTTCGATACCTTGTCCTTTTTTAATTGGCGAGAATAATGCGGTACAGTTAGGTTTGTCTAAGTGCAAGCCACTGTGTCGCTACCTTTAACATAGTCTGTTTGCCAATCCCTTCTTGGATCTAATAGTAATAGTAATATCTATTTACTCTAAAATACAGGGAACACGGAACGAGAAAATAAATATAATTTATTCATAGAAAGACAATGCCTGAGTAATGTATCATATGTATCTTGAAATGCTATAGATAAAAGAAAGAATAGGGAGAAAAAACATAATTATTTGTAAGGAAGATAGTATTTTTACTGTGTCATATTTGAGATTATTCTATTAACGTTATTTCCACCAAGCGTGTTAATCAATTTTTTAAATTTTTTTTAAACACCTTAATGTAAATGTTCAGACAATTTTAGAGCTAAATAGATGTGAGATCGCTTTATTAAAAATTTGTTTGGTTTAGGAACATTTTTTGCGCGTGATTAAAATTGTTTAGTTTCATATACTTATGCATCATTTTTGAGTAGAATTTTGATTTGCCAAACATTGATTATAAAATTGTTCTTTAAAGCTCATATAGATCGTTAAGGTATGCATGCAGCACCCCATACTATCCCATATGTTACCTGCGGCTGGACTAAAGCTAGTTAGACATTTTATTTTATATGGTATGAATCTAATTTTCTTGAATATATAAGAAATATGTCTCAAGTGAGGATGTAGTAGTGAACTCTCATATTACTAATACAGGGCGTTCCATAATAAAATACACTTTTGTTTTTTAAACAAAACCACGAAACTCGGGCGGAAATTTTTTTTATCGCCCACCCTGTATATGCTTCAATTGCATATCTTCTATGTTTTACAAGTTTTTCTTATATAACCGATGATTCATCAGCGGCAGCGTGATCGTAATGCCATATTCTATGACCTGCATGAGCGTCTTTACCCACAATCGGATCATGTTGAAACTTAAGACTAGATCCCCATAGCCCAAGTTACCCTAAGAAAGAGGAAGTTTATCTATCATTGAGCTGAGAAATGTATTTTATGAATGGGCTTTTTGGCAGAGTTTTTACGTAAAAAACCTATATAATGTAAAAAAACCTATAAAAAGTCAACTTGACGTAATGTTACATTTCAAGATAAAACCCCTGGGGGTGGCCACGAGAGCTGCCTTTATTCATTCGATGCTAGACTACAATGCAACTTCAGAATACACGGTGAATTTATTTTTACACAATAGAACGCGCGAACTTGTCTTTATCTTTAATTCACCTTAAAAGCTACTCGGATTCTTCGATTTTAGCCAGCCGTAGGGGATGAATTGTAATCTCCCATGTTCGTCTAGACAATAAAACCAGACGTATTTGAAATTTTTCTCTAATGTATACGTTTTCGGTCACAACGGTGGCCCTCTTCGGTACACGACACTTTTTTGACAATGTTTCATTCGTCTGTATCTAGTTTCTTTTTCTTTTCATTATCGGATACCTATTCATAAAAAGAAAAGATAAACGAAGTATCACCTGGAAGATAAATGAAATATTATACATTAAAGAACAATTTCAAGTACATGTGGTTTCACTGATTCTTGTTAGAGTATTAGCGGACATGGAGTGCCTGAAGGTTCAATTCTGAGGTCACTTGTATAAATAACTTACTTTAACGATTTCTGTACTGATAATTCCGTTACGTGCCGGTACAACTGTCTTATTTACCAAAATCATGTTCACCCTTTCGACAGTATAGATCCCGGCAAAAATTCCTCCATCTAATTACGCATTATTAATAACAGCAAATGCATTCTGATCACTGTAGGGACATATATCTCCGATCCGATGTTTTTAAATACTATTGGGTGCTATGTCAATTTAAAACGTATTATGCATTGCCCCAGTCGTAAGGTAGGTTTTGTCTTAGAAACTATTAACAGGAAATTATATTTTGAGGTTAGGTTGTAGCATTATTCTGCAATTTGTAAACAAATACACTTGTGACTCCTCTTTTTTTGTGAGTTTTTGGCTTCAAATTCGTTCAAATGTGATTAAACAACATGGACAGGTAATTAGTTATGTATATTTAGGAGTGTGCATAATTATTTATAATCTAAAGAAATACATCGAATTTTTATGGGTGGGACTTTATGTCCCAACAGTAATGTATAGTTAGTAGTTAGTATAGTATATAGCTAGTATAATAATCAAATTGTAAGGTCATCACGATGCAGTCACGAGCAAATACGTTTGGAATATTTATGATACCTATTACAAATTGATATAATTTTGACTATAAACGTTACTATTATTGCATAGGTCTAATTTCATATTTTTATTTTTTAGAAAAAGAACGTTAACTGCTAAAGAACTTGAAGAAATTGTGCGGAAAATAAATGAGTATGGGTTGACTGACGATTCGGTTGTTGTAGAACCTTTTCAAGACTCCGGTTCCGAGTATAAGTCAGAATCGGATATTTAATCTGAAAGTGATCTGGAGCTTCCTGCCCGTCGAACTACACGTAAACGCAAAAGGAACAACCAACAGAAAGCTAAAAATGATTTGCCTGATGACGAAATTCTTAACGTAGAGCCTAATTTAGCGTCAGATCTTGAGGAGATTGAGATAGGCCTAACCCTACATACAGTAAGAAGAATATTCACTGGAGCACTAGTGGATCTTCATTTATTCCTTTAAAGAGTGTACCTACCGCGCATGTTATACGTATATTACATGCAGATATTACTCATAAATCAATGTACTACCTTTGTCTAATTATTGGTCATCTAACTTGGAAATGAGGCTATTAAAAATGCCATCTGTAGAGACAGATTTTTTCTTCTTACATCAAAAATGTATTACAACCATACTAAAAACAGAAAATTTAGACAAACTCAATTACATTTCTGAATTTGTGTCGTGTCTCAAACATACATTTCCAAAAGCTCGAACTGACAGTAGTTTTCAAAGTATAGATGAGTCAATGGTGAAATTTAAAGGTCGTTCCTCGCTGAAAGAATATCTTCCGTTAAAACCAATAAAGAGAGGTATTAAGATTTGGGAGAAATGCGATGAAGTGATGAAATGATATGAACATGTATGCTGGGAAAGACGAGGAGCAAAAAGAAGGAACATTAAGGGAAAGAGTGATAAACAAGTAATGCAGCTCTATAAATTAATTGCTAATATAGGTTTTGCTGCTGTTGGGACATGTATGTCAAATAAAAAAAATCTGCCACAGTTTGAAAAGAAAAAAATAAATGGGAAAAGGAGATTGCCAAACATTATTTAGTGATCAGGGTGTTATCGCACATCTATGGAAAGATTCTAAAGAGGCTTTGATTCTTTCAAACTGACAGAAAGATGAAATGGGATCTGCAGAAAGACGCCAAAAAGACGGAAAAATATTAACGTGCCCTGTCTGGAAGCTATAAGACCATATAACAGATTTATGGGTGGTGTTGATCTTTCAGATAAGATGTCTGGCTTATACGAAATTGATCGAAAGTCTCAAAAATGGTGGAAAAAAGTATTTCACAAGCTACTGTTAACATCAGCCTCAAATGCATGGATACTATTCAAAGAAGCTCATAAGCGTGATGTTCCGTTTATTACATTTCTAGTAAACCTAGCAGAAGATTTGATAAACACAGGTCGACAAAAAGCAGGTGTTGTTAGAAAACGATGTAGTGGCAGACCTTCAAGTTCATCAATAAATCTCGTAAACGTAGGAGATCATTTGCCGTTTCTATGAAAATCTCGTCGTAGAAGTCATTCATGTAATTATAAAAAAAAGAACAAAAACTATGTGTTCAGGAAGTAAGCTTCCCTTGTGAAGTGACTGTTTCCAATCCTTTCACACTTAAATGATAGAAGTTTATCATTTTCGTTCAAGTTGCATTTCTAACTATAAGTATTTTTGTTACTAGTGGGACGTTTGTAGCCAGCTTTTCCGTACTGTTGGGACCAATGTGTCCTATTTTGTTTTTTTTTTGTTTATTACTTAATAGAGAAAAAAGTTATTTTCTATGATTTAATCCATTGATATTTGTTGTGTAGGTAAGATGTTTTGCTGGGACCCATACGTCCCATCCGTAAAATTACGTTCTTCTTTTTCAAAATTAAGTCGTATTGAAAGGGTTCTTTCCTGGAACATAAACATCTTTTTTTCTTATGGACCCCATCTTGTATTTCTGAACCGATGATTCTGATTCCAAAAATGTATCCAGTACAGTACTTAGTCCATCTTTTGATGATCCCCGAATAAGTTTTTTTATACTTGAACCACCACGTAGCCTAAGCCCTAAACACTCATAGGTACCGCGGCGCTACAGGGTGACACAGGGCACGGGGAGGGGGAGGGGGATGCTATATAAACTTTAGCGAGAGACAGTCATATGCCGTCCAGCACCTACGGACAATCACAAAATTCTCTAGGGACAAGATTCGAATTTGATGAGAACGTTGACCCATAACACCTACCATTACACCACCACTACTAACAAAATATTCAAGAATACAATTTTAATACATGACTGACAATTCATCCGAGGATCCTAATTTTCAAATAAGATCTATTCTCGGATTTTTGTAATTATTATTGACATTAGTAATTTTCAACAGTAATTTATGAACGTGATGCTCAACATTACAAAGTAAACGCTGTGTATTTTTAAAAGATTACTTATTTTTGTATTCTAATTCCAATGTATGAAATATGGCACCTAACGATATCAATCAACCTACAGCGCTTTTCCTCAACATAGGATCGCCTGCCAACTTTTTGCTCTCTATCTTAAGTACGAAACAGTGTACTTGAATAGACTACAACTTCTTCACAATGAAAAACAGTGGTGTATGAGTCGCAGACATGGTCACCTATATGGTTCTGTACTGCACGCTCCATGTTAGCAGTCACTAACGACAGTGGCGTAGTAAGACAGGATCCATCCAAGAAATTGGAGAAGTTTGAAAGAATCAAGTTGGAAGTTTTCCTTAAGGATTTCGATTTGCTTATTTAATCTTAGTCCTATCATTCAGTTTTGTAATAATCGAGTTTTTTTGTTTTATAATATCTATCGTTTTTATCAGCTGATTCCTAATTTCACATCAAATAACAGTATCTTTTGTAGATGAGGCAACTGTTCTTGGCGCAGCTAGTATGAAAAAAATTGGCACAATTTTATTTAAATCTCATATTGGTATTTGATTTACATTTACATGGATCACCATTCAGGACCTTGAATCCCTATTATCAGAGCATTTGCAAAAAAAAGTTAAATTGTGTCAGAATCGTAATTATTGACAACTTCAGGGATACAAACATAAAAGAAATATGTTGATTTTATTAAAAAAAAACAGTGCAAATCCGTTGCTGGGCTATTATGAATAACTTGAATTTCGGAACAAATTGTCTGCAAATCTCTCCAGATATTGTACCTTCTATGTCTCTACCAATAACAGCGTTCATCACTTCTTTGACGCCGAATTAGATCATAGATACATAAAATACTAAATTGTGTATCGACGATCATTTTCTAGACCCTGATCTGGAACCTATGGTTGCCAGGTTTTCAGTCACGTTGCTCGTCAAGTTCTGATGAGAAAATCACAAGAAATCGCCAATCCTTAAAGTGAAATTTAACTAGTAGTGTAATCATAAAACGCAAGGTTAGAGAATGGAATGGATTTGTCATCAGGGGGGATAGCATGCGCCTGTTAACGATATCTGAAGAGGGGGTTAGGCATAATAATTCTATATAATAATGAACAATTCATTGAAAAGCGGGGGTGAGGATGGGGGGTTGTTAGACACGTGTAACATGAACGAAACTATAAGTTTCTTCACTTGGCGCGGATCCAGAGGGAGATTTTGAAGTGGGGGGACTTCTGGGAGCGAATGTTATTGTGATCTTGTTACATCGGTGAAACGGGGGTTTATTGAAAATTGAAGAGCAGAGAGATAATACTTTTCTGCGTATTTACCTTTCCCAGCGATTTTTTGGGAGGGGGTATCTCACTCTCTTTCCCGGTTATCGAACAAGAACGATAACAATCGAACATCTAGCGATACTGAGTCAGAAAGGTGTTAGGATGGGAATTCCTTGATATGCTCGGAACACGACATTTGACCATAAACGTCATTGTGCTTCGAGTACAGAACTGCCGCTGGTCCTCCTTTCATGATTCAATACTCTATACACGTATCAGCAAAAACGGATTACAAATTAAATCAGAAATGTTAACAAATCACAGATATCGCCAATTTGCTAGATACTAGCTAGTCGCCAAGCTATCCATTTTAGTCGCCATTTGAAACGGCCAAATCGCCACTTTTAAGAAAAATCGATACCCTGAGAGATTTCAACAGAGTGTTTGTCGTCCAACCGCAGCTCACATTTCCTAGCATCAATTCTTTTGAGAACTGGATTCCGGATTAACTCAGTTACATAATGTTTAAAAGAACATTACTTACTTAATTTTCTTTTCAAATATTTCTCTTTACAATGAATACGTTAACAACTTAGCGACAATAAATAGTCAATCTCTAGTTGTACCCCACCACTCTACATCGTTATACAAGAAAAGTTTTACATACACTGCGGCCAAACACTAAAACAATCTACCAGCTGAGTACCGCAATTACAGTCTAATAAATTTCAAGAATAAATTAAAAGCAATGCTTCTATCTACCTCCTCATCCTGATAATAATTAGATCAATTTTCAAAAATTCAGCTAGAATAAGACTGACTGTACGATTTTTCGAATCACATCATACGGGCATTATGATTTTATATTAAATGACAATGTATATTGCAAAATAATTGTATAAAGTCATGGTATTATTATTATTATGATATTTTTCTCTGAAACGAAAAATCGAAGAACAGCTACCATCTGAACATACTGGTTTCGTCCGTCCGACCACAAACACTCAACCATGGATAGGTGTTTTGTGCTTTTTGGTACCATCGTCAATGTTGACTTTATTTACAATTGTTTTGACATTGTTCAAGTTAAATTAGAGAGTATGGGACAAACTAGTGCTCTTGTATTACTAACATGAACACTGAATTCCTGAGTACTTTGGGCTTCGAGAGAAACAATTACAGCAATTTACGTCAAATATATGTGTAAATGCTTTTTATAAAACTTTGATATAACTAGCAGATAGAGAGCCGCTGCTTTAGAAATAATTGTTTTGTTGGTTCCACCACTGAACCGAGGTACATGATTCACGATAGCGACACAACGGCTATCTGGGCGACCCTGTTATCGATGTTGTATGTCGGAGCGAGTGACGCCTCCGGGGTGTCGCCCGCTTTTTTGATAAATCGACTACAACACCGACCACGGTCCATGTTTATGGATGAAAGACGAGAATTTCGTGTATTTTCTGCACATTTTTTTTCTCCTCTTTCTCTCTGTGATCAAACATCGTTCAATGCTTGCGAAAACAGACTTCCAAGGTGCCGGTTTACCTCGTTGCAATGACCGTGCCATGATGGTGACTGGACAGCGATCCCATGAAAACGTTTCTCGAAAATTGTAGACAAAATAGTTATCAGAAATAAGGATGGTATCCTGGAAGTTGGGACTTTCCTTTTCAGTGTCAAGTAGATTTGCAATAGCAAAGATAATTGAAGTAAAGTACTCATAGTTCATTTGGTAAGAATTTTCAAGTGCTGCCCATGTTTTGTCTGTAAGCGCAGCTTGAAGTTGCCGCTGTTCGATTCAAAAACACGAATCCCTTTACCCCTCCCCAAATTTGAAACTTTTGGGGCTATCCAGGTCTTCAACTGTGTTCAATCAGACGGCTTTTGTACGATATATACAAACATATGCCGCTGTGGTGGAAAGAAACATCGAGGACGACGACGACGTTCTCAGTATCAATAGGAAATTGACATATGGCTATGAGTATTTTATAAATCTTCACTCCTGCTACCATGGATCCAGCTTCTTTCAGTGTTCTCACTAACTTAGTTAATAACATTTAGCAACAATTTCACCTACTTTTGGAAGTTATTTAAGATCAATTAAACACATGTAGTTGCTATTTTTCAAGTGTTCTTTAGCTCATGATGATGAGGTCAAAGTTCATCGAAAGCTAGATAATAATACTTTGTCAAAGTACCCAACTGAGGCTGAAGCTTTGTCTAACCTGACTGGTTATTACTGGTTAGACAATGATAACGGCTCATGTTATATATTAAATCCGGTTGCGGTGTTTAGTAAAACATAGCTATGTTTTTCATTGATTTTCCAAAAATATTCTCATAAATCTAGTTTTTGATCGTCCACATTTTATAAAATCTAATTTTAGTACGAATCTCGTTGATGCAGTATGAAACAAAATTTCAATTAATTGAGTATTTATTTATTTAAATTTGTTTTTAGCTCCTGATGATGACAGTATCGACTGTCGAAAGCTTGAGTTACAAGTTAAAGGAGTACATACACATTGTATAATTTGACGACTGCCCCAACGACGAGTCTTCCACTTAGCTAATAATTTTCGACTTTAACTATATTATAATTATAAATGAATTCATTCCTTGTATAAAAAGTGAAAATATAGTAAGTCAAAATATGATCCCACTTGAAGCGTTCAGCGACGCCTGTTCATTCAATCTGCATTACGATAAAAATAATTTGTGAATAAGATTGGATTAATTTGAATCACGATTCACAGGTGAGTCCTGAAATACAATTTCGAATAACAACTGATGCTCGCAAGATAATAGTCGCTGGCGCTGTGCTGTGCAGAATACGAGACGAGACGATTTCTCCTAAATCATTTTCTGCTACAGTTCCAACAGCCCACGGCGACCACCTTTCGGGACAAGCTATAGATCAGGACGTTTATGCTGGCCCCAAATGTCTTGCCACAGACTACAGGAAAAATTAATAAAGTCACTTGTATTTAATTGAATATGAGGTGATAAGGCTTCCAGTTCAAGGGTAAAACAGAAAACAAGAATTGCATCATTGGTTCGCTTGACAACACCGCGTCTTGTAGATTCCAAGACAAGGTTTCCACCTCCATGATAGTCCAGTGCCATTAGTGTTTCTGTTTTCCAATAAGTAGTTGAACACCGGTATGCCAACCACTATCGAAAACGACTTCATAACAAACACTGTACTTCATATCCTTTTTAATGATGCCTGAATAAAGGTTTTTTCGTTGACGATGCGTTAATGTTGATATGTAATAATAGCGTATTGAATGAATGAATGAATGAACGAATCGTGAAATTAGAGGCATTCCGGCCACCATAAGGAGCCAGTGCCGTGACCACTCTATAACTTGAAAAGTATGGCACTGATTTTGATGAAATGTCCACGCAATGTTACTACTATGTCAAGGACAAAAATGCGAGGGCCCAAAAACGAAAAAATAAATTAACCGAGACTTTGTTGTTTGACCTTCCACAGGCTCCTGATCAATTTCGGAAAAAAATTTTTAGGGGTTAAAAGTTGGGTGGGGGAGGGTATATCTCAATTTGTTGACCTGTTCGGCCTATTGTACTCAACATAGACGTTCCTGTACATTCATCGTCATTCACGCGGTATCGGCAATCGAAAACGTCATGTGCGCTTGCACATATATCTTTTCGGGGAGGAAGGTCATTTAATTGTTTGTTATAGACGTTCTTACATACTTTTCTATCAGAGTGGCTAACTTGCGCCAAACAATCAGCAGAAAAAAATATGGCCGACACCAAATTTCTGGTCTTCCGTCAGTCAGTCAGTTGACTGTCAATCAATGTCAAAAGTTGGACTACGTTCCAAAAATAATAATGACAAATGAGAAATTCACAATCGGACATCACTGGTTGCCTCTGGGCAGACCTCTGGATCGTGTTATTTCCCAAAATAATGTTGCAGGTAAAAGAAATCAGTGTTCGAGGGACGAACGACACTTTATGAAAAAAGTTCTTAAATAATCGTCAATAAAATATCATAATAAGTGTCTAAAAGTCTACAAAATAATACTGAGTCGCAAAGAAAAAAAATAGTATGTGTGAAATCGAAGTATTAGGTAGTTTCTAGCTCAATATATCAATAAATTATGTCCGTCCTCGTCGAAGTAAATATTTGGAATATATATCGTAGTACCCTCGTAGTAGTGCCCAACCGCCACGATTTCAAAGCGCGCGCGCAGAGAAGGAAACCGGCACCGCGCCCCTTCCCTCTACCTTTCTCTCCTCTGGCCGCCTATAAACCTTCATTCCTTGTTCTCGCGCCCGACCGCCAAGGCGTTAATCGGCGCGCGTCGTTTATGTGCAGTGCAGTGTCGAGGATCCGATGAACATTTCGAATTAGAAAACAGGAGGTTGGCCGATCGATGTACATTGTCGAACGAGATACCGACCGTCGGTCGACTGAAGGTTGCTTTCATCGCGGACCAAAATTAGAAAGTGGCGTGCAGGAATGTTTTTCATCAGAGTAACTGTGAACTAACCGATCTGTTTTAGGTGCAAGTTAAGTGAATATTAGTATGGATGCCTCACCGGCGCTGCAAATTGTGCCTAGCATGACATTTGGGATAACTTTCTGACACTGATAGCAACCTGGATGTAGTTTGTGATAGAAAACTTCATACCTATGACGAACAAAGACGTTTAGGATAACATTGGACTCGGTTGCTTGGGATAGCAACGTGGACCTGGCTTGGGATAGTCAGCTCCACACCAAGGACGAACGACGACGTTTGGGATACCGTGGAAGCATTAGACTCGGTTGCTTGGGATAGCAACATGGACCTAGCTTGTGATAGTCCGCGCCAAGGACGAATGAAGATGTTTGGAAAAATTACTCAATACTCAACTTCGTTGCACAAATAACAACACTGAAAGCGTTTGGAACAACGTAGCAACAAGGTACGGTCAACAATCTTTTCTCATTTGCTTGTGATAGCAAATTTGATCTGGTTTGTGATAACCATGGAGCAGGACTGTAAGTTTGAACATGGCAGGCTAGGAAGTTGTTAAGATAGGGCTTAGGTATGTTATGTTAGGTTAGCGTTACATTTTGCTTATGATGGCAAATTCCATCTGGTTTGTGATAACCCCGGAACAGCGTAATAAGAATGCACAAGACAGATTAGGAAACTGCCGAAGTACCATTTTTCATTAATCGAACCATCTATACGTCCTAGCCTATAGCACCCAGCGGTGGTGTTGTCGGCGGTATGGCGCGAAAGAACAGTCGTTCGGAGTCCCATCGATGGAACACCAAATGGAAGTGTCTGGAGCAGCGGGTGGTATCACGGCTCAACGGACGGACGGACGGTGGGTGCAGGTGGTGCGACCAGCGCCCTCTGGTGTCGGCATTTAGTTACATCAAGAGGATTGTGATTGGCTCGAGAGCGTGCTCGAGAGTTGAGTACGAAATTCAACGCTAAGTGATTAGCACTAATGACTGGGCCAACGAATGAAACAGGGAGAAAGTATTTCGGGACCCAAGAATACATTCGCTTAGGGTTAGTTCTCGCATTCTGTGATACCCCAAATCCTCAAATGAGCCATGGGCTGTACACGTGCGTTACATACTATCGCTATAATGGATAGCAGGCACTTCAACAGACATATATAAGCGCGCTTTGACTATATCAAGGCAGATGACTCGTTCTTCACCGCTCTCAATTCTTCTGGTTCATGGATATGTCTAGAGATCTTACTCCACGTTAATGGATAACCTATTTGGCTCAGAAGAAAAAAAAGTTCTCCATTTCCTTCATCCCCAGAAACTCCACCATCTTCATCTCCATGTCCTCTCGATGTAGTGGCGAAGACTTTTCCTGTGGAAGTTATTATCTGATTGAAGGAGTTGAAAAGGCTACGAACTTCACGCCGAGATAAGGAATTTAACATAGAAAAAATTACGATAATGTCTTAAGCAAACTTTAGTGCTCCAGGTATTGAATGCTTGAACTGGTCAGCTTCGCGAAATGATCAGCCAGATGACAAATATACCTTATTATGACTTGGTTGTGACCAAGAGTCTGAATGCTGCATCCAACAACAAACTGTCAATATTTCACACACGCAATCTCAAGCTGATTGTTTCCTCTTCTTCTTCCCCCTCAACTATTCCTTTTGGTAAAAAACGAATAACGAAGAAGGTGTTTTGCGGACAGCTAGATATGCACTCAGCGCCGAGATGATGATGGCTGCGTAATTGGAGAATATGTAAATCGAAGATTGCCAGTCGAAGGTCGCTGTTTTTATCTCCGCGCTTGAAATTGTTGTGAGCGTATCTTGACGATCTGCTAATGGTCGAAGTAACTGTGTCAGATAGAATAGATAATGTCCGTGTTTGTTCCAAGCTATAATCAGCTGTTTTCGTGGTGAGCATGATGTAAGATTGATTTGTAACCTTCTGCGCTGTTATGAAGCTTATCTGATTTGCTTATGTTGGAGGTATCTGATTGTAGGTGATCCAAAGGTTTGGATCTATGAATGACAACATGTTGAAAGGCACAAAAGTCAATGTGATCTGTATACGATTTACTCGATGCAGTCGAGGTATGCGTTTTTTCTTCATTGAGATCTAAAGTAATATACCATATGAAGCCCCAAATGTGTGGAAGTACGTAGCTTAAGGATTACTCATATTATTGTAAGCCCGACCATAAAAAACAAAGAACGCTGTTATGTATGCACAACCATTAAATATCGCAGCATTTAAGTGTTTATGAAAATGTCTTACAATGATTTTAAAATCACCATCATTTATTTTTAAAATGACTTGCTATACTAACATTCCCTGGGACTTGAAAAGGCGGCATTAATCAGAGAATATAGGTATCTCAGTTATGAGGTAAACTGAATTGGATACCTATTTCCAACCTTCTGCAATGCTCAAACTTCATTACTAACACATCACTAAATTCAATGAATTACCGATCACATGGTTGACTAAAAGTTAGCTACATCATGATAAAGTAAATTATTACAACGTTTTTCTTATTAAGAATAATAATTTTATAGCAGTTCTTGAAAATATGGAACTTTATTTTTATAACGAAACGCGCTCTCTTGGTCTAACAATTCTTATGGTAGAAAATCATACTCTACTCATTTTTTATAATTGCTATCGGAGGTAAATACGAGAGCTGAAGGTGACTTAGGGCTATTTCAGGTGCTCTCGTGTAGGCATTCAGCGGCCCACTACCCGATTTTGTGAAATAGTTTCACACGCAGTGCTGCGGCCTCACCGGGTGTTGGAGATTTTAATGGAAATCGTCCTCCATTAGTGAATTTGTTGTCGAGGTAAATATGATTTGTTCACTATGCCAGGTCTGCCTTAATCTTGTACAAATTAAAAACACAACCACTTTGTGCAACAATTATGCATAAAACTATCAGTAATTTTATTTGTGCTAGTTTAGGCGTTCTTATGTAACATTGGGGTTATACTTTAACCATTCAATAATCCATTGTTTAGGTCAATATTGAATGAAGCCCGCTCCCTGTAAGCAGTGAACATCTAAAGTGATACGAAACGGCCTTTAATACGCTGTCTGTGTTGTGATATAGATTCGCTTCGATTCCTTGACCAAGCGAAGTTGGTTATAGCTAAGACTTGTCAGCACTGTGACCCGTGAGGACTATTAAGATCGTTCAATAAGATTAGTCATAGGAGCATGTACAACCACATAAGCCCTCTAACATCTGGCATCGTATATTTTAAGCTTGAAATGAGCCATTCAACTTTAAAGGTACTGCTACTTTGTAGTGTCAATGAGTGTTTGTGCAGAAGCTATTTGCATTATACACTACCGTTCAAAGGTATCTGAACACCAGCATATTTTATTTAAAATGGAGCCTCTATAATGATTTGGGCTTGTTTTGGTGGTTCCGCTCTGGAGGATATTGTGAGAGTACAGGGAATACTGAATAAAGAAGTTACAAAGCCATACTACAAAATCATGTTGTGCCTTCTGGGAATCGTCTTATAGGTCCGGGGTTTGCCTTTCAGCATTATAATGAAAGAAGATCAAAATATTTTGAGTATCATGCAATGGCTTCCACTTTAGAAAATTTATTTGCGCGTTTACCCATTATTTTCCAGGCTGTAATTAAAAGTAAAGGAGGACATATTGGTGAGTTAAAAATATGATTTTTTTTATTATTATAAATAGTTGTTAAGAATAAACAAAATGAATACTTCATACAGATATTGTAATGTGTTCTTTAATAACTGCCATAGGTTTTCTTGTTCGCTGGGTGTTCAAATACTTTTGAACGATAGTTTACCTGTATATGGATGATAACATACCTTACGAAAAATATTGTGATCAGTTACTGGAGTACCAATATTTTGTTGACTAGCGATTTTCGAGTACAGCTGTAGCTAGCAATCGATATCCATGAGAGAAAAGAAAACTTAGGCATTCCATCGTCGTACCATTGCAGTCGTCAAATAGACATTCCATTGTTTCATATAGCACCATGCGTGCATCCTATTACCATTCTTCTTCTTCCACATGCATACCTTCAGCCTTTCGTTCGCTGCTCGCCGATGTTTGACAGGAATTAATAGTCCTCGGCTCGGTGGTACCTTCGGAGAGCCGAAGACACGTACGCTGGCCGGTACGACTAATTGACATCCCTTGCCGCATAAATATCCTCCTCCTTTTCATACTTCGACTCCCAATTAATCTGTGCGATGGTAAAGCTGAGTTCACATGAACATACTGTATAGCACTTCAGTGTTTCTTGCTGGTGTTGTTAGGTGCTTGTTAGTTGACAGATGCCTGAATGCCAGAGCACCGCGGCTCCTATGAGGAGTTTAAAGAATCTTTGTTGATTCTATTTTTGAACTGCTTAAGTTTAGTAGAATCAATAATATGCTTCTTGTTCGTCAACATTCAGTACTGTGTTCTGGAAGTTTTAAACTTTACCAGATTGTTCCGTCTCCAAGCAGTGATAACCTCCAGGTCGTCTCTCGTCAGAAGATTAGATTTCTCCATCTCACTGGTAGAAATGGGCTTGTCACCCTGAATTCCTTCATGTAGAGCGTTGTGATCAGCAAGGTGGTGTTTGGATTGACCGTACAGAACAGGAGGTCATCGATATGTAAGATTAACAGTGTCGGTACCAAAACTGGTCCATGGAGAGCACCCGCGAAGAAGAGAACTCGTCAATTACGGCGGATATCTTGCGGCCAAAGAGGAAGTCAGCAACCGATCTGCAAAGTTTCTCTGGGAGGCCATAGGATTGACGTTTGCAAAAGAGAGCAGTAATGCCACAGCTGATGGAACGCTTTCATGATGTCAAGAGCAACGACATGAGTCTCACCATGAGACTGGATGAGTTTACTCCACAGTTGCGTGACATTAGCTAGGAGATCTCCGGTCGTTCAAGGTAGTCCAGAAGCTGCCGATTTATGCACCTCTATATTTATCAACAAAGGGTTCGTTTCAAGAATTCAAAGACGACAAGATTCCAAAAAGCCAATGCCTCTGAGTATGTAAGTAATTTGGACATCCAGCGTGATTAAAGAGATCCGCCTGGTTATAAGCCAGATCTAGAAAGTAGCATCGATGCATCAACACCTCAATGCAGAAGTTCTTCAGCTGACTGGACAACTACACTGCCGTCCGATGACCAAATCGTACGAACTTTTGTTGTGTTTTGTCGCTAGAGCAGAGCAAGTGCGCCAGTTTTGAGTTATAACATTATTCGTACGTTAGGATTGTATAAAGGATATCAACGGATTGCCTCTAGTGATGAGTATTCAGTAGTCAAAGTCAAATATGAGGCTCATCCAAGGTCATGTTTGAATATAAAATTATTCGCTCCTATCGCTACAGGAATCAAAAGTAAATGTTTGCATTTTCATCTTTAAGGTTGACCTTCAAATAACATTTCAGGTAATAGTCAAGTTCGGATCAAAGGTCACCGACCGACAGTTGAGGGAAAAATCCCAAAGAGATATCTAGCGGTTCTGGTACTTTTCTCACACCCTGTGTGTGTCTAATGATAAACTAGTGCACAAGTTAAATCAAATAATGAAAAATAAATAAATAATTGAAAATTAAATTTATTTAATTAATGTAAAAATTATTATTGAAGGTCGAAAAATCCGTTTTATTATAGTAATTTAAAAAGATACAGAAAAGTGAAAATAAATTTTTCTTCCATAAGATGGCCTGGATGAGCAGTTATTTATTTGGGGAGAAATAAATAATTTGGAGGTCGGTAGCTCAAAATTTATATTTTGTAGTTGAGGATCTATTAATATGGTTTGTGTGTGAAGCCGACCCTTATGAGAGCTGAGTTAATGCAAAAAAAATTTGTAAGTGTTTGATTATATATTGATTATGAGAATAAATAACATCCGTTATAAATTCACTGGGTTTTTCATTAAAGGTACGTTTAACATAATTACTAAATGTAGTTGTGGTGATCACTTCAAGTGACAACAAAAACAATCAAATTTGTATTAGCTACAAATCACTATCTGGAGTACTCTTCCATGTCCTTTTTTTAGTCTAAATTAGTCCGAAAACATGCTTATTAACCATACGGACAGGTCCCTGCTTTTTTTAGGAGTTAAATAAAAAATAAGTTGTTAGTTATATATCAGGTAACCAAATAAGTTCGTGTGGTTGCTGTATATCGCACATTGCTATGGATGTTGTTGATCGATAGCGATTGTTTGTTACCTGTTGTTACTTTAGTATGAATCCTTCTTTTCTCACAACTTGCAAGAAGCGTGAGTCCTGAAACTATTCGTTTGCATCTTCATCAGCTAGGAAAGACCTGGAAGTTAAGCAAATGGATCCCACATGAACTGACAATTGATAACAAACTAAGTCGTTTTAACATTTTTGTTCAGCAAACATTTCACGCAACGCTAATGAACCATTTCTTAATCGGTTATTAACCTGCGACGAAAAATAGATCTTGTATTCGAATTCTAAGCTTTCGTATCATTGGTTGTCACCTGCTGATTCGGTACCACACACGCAAAAGGCTTCCTTGCACCCAAATAAGGTTTTGTTGTATGTTTCGTGGACAGCAACTGGAATTGTCCATTATGAGTTTTTGGAAAGGGGTCAAACCATCACTGCTTACTTGTATTGTGAGAATCGTCGTCGAGTACAAGCAGCGCTCATCCAGAAACAGCCTTCTTTGATCAATCGGAAGAAAGTGATATTCTTGCAGGCCTCATACCTCAAAAGTGACCCGAGAAAAAATTTCTGAACTCGGCTGTGAAACGCTACCGCACCCACCATATTCTCCTGACAGTTCGCCTAGTAATTATAACCTTTTTTTGTCTAATGACAGCTGTATGAAGCACCGACAGTTCACAACTCGAGATAGTGTAATAAATGCAGTCCGCCAATTTTTTTACTCCAAATCCAGGGAGTTCTACAATACCGACATACAAAAATTAGTTCCACGTTGGCAAAAGGTCATTGAATGTGATGGTAATTACTTCCACGAATAAATAGCGTCTTATTGTTTCTCAATGAAAATTTATATTTTTCTACTATAAACCGCACGAACTGTTTTGGTTACCTGATAAAAAGTCAAGCT